TTTCCCGTGCGGCACTTCACAATTTGTTTGCTCTTCAATCTCTCGCACCCTCTCTCTGCTAGTCGCACGTTTTTTGTAAACAAATAAATAACAATAATAACAATAATAGCAATTACATCAGTTCAGGAAACGTTAGATCAACTATTCTAAATCTTTTTAGCAAGAAAATGCAACAAATGCAAGGCGTATCTAGAAAAATGTTCACGGTGCGTATACGTAATTGGGCTCGTCTATTTCGAGAACTTGGGCAATGTTATCTGCAAAAAATTATGCGTCGCAGTTCTGTTTCACTGTTTTTTTTTTATATTTTTTATCTAAAGTAAATAATGGCAAGCTAAGTCGTTGCTTTTTTTGCTTAATATCTGGTTAGTTAGATACCCTGTTAATTTATAGCCAAAACCTAGAAACTATTAGTATTTTTATTTAATTTTTTTCTTATAATATATTTTGCAATAAATCAAATAACATTTGTGGTTAGCTGCTTTTTTCGGGTACCAAATATTTTAACATTTCATTAACAGTTTTTGTACTTCTGCTGTCTAATTTTCAATATAACATAAGACACGTATGGTTAGGTGTTTTTTTTTTTGCTGTTAGTGACATTGCTGTTATTTAACATTTAGGTGTCTAGTTTTGAATATGCTCTGTTATCAAAGTAGATTATGCTCTGTTAATTAGGCTTGAAATTTTTTGACATGCTCTGTTAATAGAGTCGATTGTTTAGTTAGAAACTCTATTAACTTAGAAACTAAAAACTGATTTTATTATTTTTTAAAATCTGATTTCCAACTAACAAGAGATTTTGTGGTTAGCTGCATTATTTAACAGAGCAGACTACCTAGAGTAGTCGCATATTTGTTATTTAACATTGCATTAACAGTTTTTCGTGCTACTCAAACTTCTCTGTTTATTTGTTAACATGGTTTGTTAAGAGTGTTGTTTATGCTCTGTTAACCAGAGCACCCTGTATTGAAGCGCTGTTCTCCGAAGAGAACGCAATAAATGTTGTGCAATTTCACGAGTTGTTTGTTTCCCCCGTTTTCCCACGTGGCTATTGGCGCATTATATGGTATGACATAATGGCTAAGGTCCAGGCGCCAGATAAGATTAGAGCCCGCAGTTAAATATTATCTTCATTTTAATGGTAAATCAAAATCGTCATTGATCTTCAATTTCAACACAAATTAAAATCTTTATTATTATGTACAATTGTTTTCCTAATAATTTATTGTTCTATTTACACACGCAAATGTTGGACCCATTATCAAAGACAATCGAAAAAAAAAACACAGCAGGAGGGCTCTGATTTGACGCTAATGCAGCATGATTCATTGTGGTGCAATAAGTAGGCCCCATTAGCAATTGTTTTTGTTTTTATATATACACGAGTTCTGGCATTAATGTGATGTCCCCGAGGTGTCAAGGCCTTGGTATGCCGACCGGAAATATGCCAAAACTCATAACAGAAGTTTGCCCTAAATTGTTGTTTAGTAATTGTTTTTCTGTTTAGTTTCGATATTAGTATAGTATGTGGCATTATGGATCGTAAAAATGGGGATTTCCCTTCCATGGTTGAGAAACATATTGAGTTTCTTTATGTTCATCAATATTTATCTCTCAATATATTATTAGTTTTGTTTTTATATTCTTGTCAAATTTGTTAAAAAAATGTTTATTTTTGCAACTCAACAAAGGTCTATATGTTATTTTTTTTTATTTTTATTATTAATAACATTATTCTTAGTATTATTATTTTTTTTTTTTGCTTAATTCGTTCGTTGTCAAGTAAAAAAAAATATTTATTTATTTTTTTTTAAATATTTTTATTGTATTTTCTTATTTTTTTGTAATATTTATATTTTTGTTTATTTCATTCAATATTTAAATTTTTGGTATAATATTTTTATTTTTTTATGACTATTTTATTTTTTAATAATAATATTTTTACTTTATTTTGTTTTTATATAATATTTTAATTTTTGTTTTATAATTACAAAATTTTTATTTTATATTATTTTATTTTTTTTTTTTTACTTTTTATTACGAAATCAATTACAAAATAAAATTCACATTCAAAAATCACATGATAATTTGTAGAAAAACTATTTAAATTAGATGCATGAATATTATCGTGAATTTGGCAGCTTTTAGGCCGTTCAATGTGGGGACTGTGGGCTGGTCCACGCCCACCACGTGTCTAATGACTCAAGCAGCTGGCAAGCGTCCAGCCGTAGTCTAACATAAACTGTCGCCTGCAGCTCGGCAACAGCCAATACAAATGCACATTTGCTATTGGATACGTACGGAGAGAGGGAGAGAGAGGGAGAGAGAGAGAGAGAGTGGGAGAGGGGGTGGGAAAGAGTGAGAGCGCAGGGCAGACATGCAACAAACTCTTGAGTGTCCGACGCCGCCTGCGTCCTCTGCATGTGCAGCATGTGTTGAAAACTGTGGCACGGCCTCCGATGCCAGCTGTTGAAAACCGTTGCACGGCCGCCACACGAGCAGCTTTGGCTGCTGCTGCTGCTGCTGCTGCGGCTGCTGCTGCTGCGCGGCTGTTATTGCTGTTGCTGTTGCTGTTGTTGTTGGCGTTGGCATTGCCCTTTGCAAGCGACAACGTTGCAGACATTTTGGGTTTGAGTTTTATTTTGTGTGTGTGTGTGTTTTTTTTTTTTGACTCGCTGCTGTTTCTGTTGGTGTTGGTCGTTGCCAAAAAGGGATGAAGCTTGAATTTATTGCACCGTTGAAAAACGTACGCGCCCCCCCCGCCCTCTGCCGCAGCAGCAGCCGCGGCCTCGGCCCCAGCTGCGTCGACTGCAACGCAAACAGCGGAAATGCTTGACGCGCAGGCTGCGCGCTGCTGTTTCGGCTGCTCTTCTTCTTGTTATTCGTACGCTGCATTTATTGAAATTTCTTTAACATTTTCGGCGAATTTCGAAGAACTTCTTATTTATGCATTATAATTTAAATTTGATTTTCTGTTGCTGCTGCTGCTGCTGCTTGACTATAAATGTTGCCCGACAAAAGAAATCTCGGGTCAATGCACTACGTTAAATAAAAACAACAACAACAACAACAGCAACATATAATGGCTGCATTTTATGGAGTGCAGCAGTGGTGTAGGGGGGGGGGGGTGAGGGGGGGCGCCCCCGCAGCCAGGCCAAAACAGATACGCAGAGGTAACAGAGCGTCGATTGCTGCCTGCGCAGTGGGGTATGCAACAGCAGACATTGGCTATAAAGCACGGGTCATTGACTTGTCCAGCGAAATGTTGGAAAATTTAACATTTTGCCCAATGTAAATGGGATATGTAGTTAATGAATGTTTACACATTTTACAGGTTTAATTGACATTGATTGCTTGTCAATAATTTTTATGACCAGCTCACGTGTATTTACTGTACTCTCTTTTATTAACCGCTACAAAGTTCAACTTGTCCTATGCCAATTAACTGCGCCTTGCACTTTGTATCAGGTGATCTTTAGTCTTTAGTTATCTGGGGTTTAACCGTGATGTTGACTAAGGCATCGTAAATGCTTCGAATCATGCCAACAAATCACAAATTGAGTCTCTCCCCCAGCATTGCACACACACACACATACACATACACGTATATATGTACGTCACAAAAAAAGCTGTGAAAACACAAATACGACAAAAACAACTGACCAAATATACAAGAAGGAATAACAACAACTGCGATAAGAACCAAAGCAATGCCAAAACCAGCAACAGCAACAACAACAACAGCAAGAACAAGAACAAGAACAACAATGCAAATTGAACGGCCGACAGCGTCGCACGAATTATATTCGTGTGCGTAGATATCATAATAAAAATTTTATTGAGTAAGTTGAGCGCGTTTGTCGCCGCTGTCGCTGTCACTGCGCCTCAGTCGACGCAAACGCCAACGCAACAATGGCAATTGCCGAAAATAACATAGCAATCGCCACAACAACAACAACAACAGCAACAGCAACCCGCAATTTTGGCTGCAAAAAAATATAGCCTCAACTTGTGTGTGTATGCGTTAGAGGCAGCAGCTGCTGTCTCAAATGCCGGCTTACGCACGCACACTTTTACGTGCGCACAGATACACACTTATACGTGCATACGCAACGCTTTCATTCTTCAGTTGTCGCTGTCGCTGCTGCTGCTGCTGCTGCCGTCGCTGCTGCTGCTGTCGTCGCTGCTGCCATTCAATATCGACGCTGGCCGCGCAGTCACAGCTGCGCCGCCGCTCGCTGCGCTGCCAGCACGTTGTTCTCGGCAAATTTTGAACGCTGGCCGCCATTTCGTATTTCTCAGCGAGCTGGCGACGCGTCAACACAGCACACGGCAGCGTTTCTGTTCTTGGAAGAACTTTCAATAGTATTAGAAAGCTTTTAACTGTGCATGGCTAAGCAAAAAAGCTGCTGCTGTTTAAATAACTAAACAAATTATTAAGAAAATTATAAACGTTATATGATCTCCATTGCCTTATTGTTTAGTGTTACAAAAAAAAAAAAAAAAAAAATCAACTCAAAAACTAAATCTAGCAAATGTTTTTAATAATTTCTTCAACAAAAAAAAGTGCAATTCTTAAATCAATTTGTGTTTTGGTATAAACTGTAAATTGTTTGTTTAACAAAAGACTGATAACGAATATATACATATATATATATAAATATTATAATATTAAATATAAATTAATAAATGCAAAAGTGTATCAAGAATATTGCTAAAAATATAACCTAGAAAAAAGCTATAAAAAAGTATGCGATAGGCAAACATTTACAGCAACAACTGAGCAAAGTATAAAAATCAGAAACACTGAGCTATACGTGCATGTATGTATGTATGTATGCGCATATAGTATATAACCTAGGTCAATATTGTTTATAGTGGCGTGTGAATGTGCGCAACAACAAAGCGCTAATAGCTCAGCAACAGCAAAAACCAACAACAACAACAACAGCAATCATAGTGCTGCGCAGCTACACATACATGCAAATAATCAAAAGCAGCAAATATAATAAATAACACACACACACACACATGTATACACAAATACATGCCAACGTTTGATACGGAAATTCGCCGCCGCAGCAACACCAACAACAACAACAACAACAACGAGCGCAAATTAAACTTTGAAAATATATACATACATATGTAGAAAAAAAAATTATTGTATAAAAGCGCTGGCATTAGACGTTAGCAGCAGAACGAACGCCAAGCAGCACGTCGCTAAAGCTTAAGGCAGCGTCTCACACCCACACACAGACACATACACATGCATATGGTACGTACATATGTATGCATGTGAATATAATACGTAAATACGGCTCGCAATTATAAAACACAAATCTCCCGCTCTCGCTTACACAACGATTAAGAACAGTCAACTTTTGGCTGCGTCAACTGCGCTGCCCGATTCTTATACAATTTCAATATCAGACCGCAACGATCGCTTCGTTCGCCCAGTCGACGCTGTCGCCTCGCGTAACTTACTTCTGATTCTAACGGACACACACACACACACACACTCGAAGCGTATTTGCCAATTTGCCCGAGCGACAAGTGCGAACTCGAATTCGTCAATAGAGAGAGAGAGAGAGAGAGAGAGAGGGGCGACACTTACGATTAACAATTTGCGGCGACTCTGTATTTATTTTTTTTTCTGACTCGCCTCGCCGCGCCTCGAGTGCGCAACAGCGAAAAAGTTCTACAAAACATTTGCCCCTCGTCGATTCGCGCGACAACAAGTGTTTTTTTTAACAAAATAACAGTACAATCAACATAATATTTGTGACACAAATAAAAATCTACAATTTTAAATATTTTATTAAAATATAATCCTAAAGCAAAATAATTATTTGGATCTGCAATTGGGAATTATTCAGAGCGCCGCAAGGAGTACTTTATTAACTTTTATTGTGGATTTTGTTTCAATTTTATGGTGAGTTTATAGAAAAATTTAATTAAAATTTAATGTTTAACAAAATTCGTATATGTTATTTTTGTATCTCACTAAATTGTCTATTATTATTGTTTAATTCTTTATTTATTAAAATTAAAAAATTTTAACTTTTTATTATACAATTTTATGAAAAATATTCAAGAAATCTAAAATTGATTAATGAAAAATATATTTTTATTGCAATTTGCAAAAACTTTTTATTTTAAATTAAAAAAAAAAAATTACACAATTTAAAAAAAAAAAGAAATTTTTGAAAGCTTTTAGGAAAAAAAATTACTATTTTTTTAATACCAATATTTTTTCAATATTTTTAGTCCAATAAAAATGTAATATTTTTTTGGTTTGTCATAAACAAAAAATATTTGTAATAATATAATCTTGTTAAACTGAACACATCTGCGTATACTTAATATGAAGCTTTTGCAATTTTTGAAGATTTCACAATAATGAACAACTTCTGGAAATAGTGTAGATTAAGCTTTTAAGAAATTATTACATCAGGCCATAATTACGCATACGCCCCATGACTCGCAGAAAAAATAATCTGTTTCATTCTAATGCTGAATTTCGCTCTATTCATGATTAGAGCAATGCAAAGGCAATGTCAAAAAGACAACCGCCCACTAAAAGAGTCTATACCGCCTAGATTCCTGATGACTGAGTCCATGCCACCTCTTGAGTCACCATCATCATCATCCAAGTCCAATGGGGCTTGCGATCATAGTGTTAAATGGTTCTTGATAATGATCAATTGTGGGGCAATATATCAAGGGGTTTCCTAGCATTGTGACTCATTCACTGCAATCGAATGAGTCACTTTCTACAAGTGTCTCAGGATCGCGCGATTCTTATAACAATTCTGATAATGAACAATATAAAGATTGATAGCACCCGAAATTTATTATCAATAGTGTTGGTCAGTGCTAGTTCTGAGGGTTCTATCGGAAGAACTATCAATAACTGGAGTTAATCGATTAATATCGACAGAGAACTCTGCAGTTACAGAAAATTTCCATGAATATAAATTGAATGATATATTAAAAAAATTTTAAGTTTGAGCATGTTTCTTAAGCATGGAAATTCCAAAGACTAAAACATTTTAAATGCCCAGCATTATAATTTGGACTTTCACCTGTGCGTTTCATTTGAATTGCCCATCAATCTGGGCAAATAAAATATATGGACTATATAACATTTATTGATAATACTTTTACTTGTTCAATTTCTATTAGCGATAAACAAGTCCCGTGCTCAAAAATTCCTTTTCTTTTTGTTATTGTTTTTTGAATTTATTTTATCTATTTGCTAATTTTGTGCCTGAAGGTCAGTACCAGCGTCAACAAGGCAAAAAAAAAAAACAATATATATATATATTTATAAAAAAACAATAACAATAACAGAGTAATGGGAGGAACAGCGGCAAGCACATGAAATGCCAAAATAATCTTTGAAATTGATATTGGGGTATTTATGTGCGTTGCACAGGAAATTGTATCGATGCGGCGCGTCTAACTGTTAAGTTATAAACAAAAAAAGAAAAAGCAAAAGCATATTTTACAGCTCTGGCATCGGGTAGAACCGTGTGCTTTGTTATCGCTATCGGAACCGATTCGACAGTTGATTTGCGTAGGTGGCGCACGGCTCGCCAAATTCGTGTTGCGTTTTCTCTCTGATAAGTAGCTGCGTTCATTCACGTTCCACCTGTTGTTATCGCTGGCCCGACAACAGTTTGTTTCTCTTATCGATGCGGCATTTAAATGTATCTGCTGTTGACGGGCTTTGCTGTGTGCTTAGCTACTTTTTATGAATGGGTGCTGTCGTGCTTGAAGTCCACTTTTTCACTTTTTATAGACCAATTGATTGTGTTCGGTTTGATTACAATCGGTTATCGAACAATAATTATATAGTCTGTTGATGACAGTCTCAAAATATAAAGAATTTCATATTTTTATGCGCTTCCTTGTTTGATTTCTTCTTATAAATATGTGAGCATTTGTATTTATGAATCTCTGTTATTGTAACAGCTATTCTTACTGTTACTGTACATGATAATGTTACTGATTATGTTATTGTTACTGTTAACGTTACTTTTACTGCAACTGATACTGTTACATTAATTGTTACTGCTACGCTTTTATTTATTTATTTATTTATTTATTTATTTATTTATTAATGGTCGACAAAACGAGTGTCTTCCTCATTATTCAAAAGGTTGTACAATATAAGTATATTCTAAAAGCCTAGTTAAAGGATACAATTTTCTAAATAGCATCACCGACCGATGGAGGTGTTTTATTTGCCAGTCCGGCCAGCTGTGCCCCTTTTCACAGCTAATTTTGTCAGTGACGCTATTAGAGCCTACATCTAAGCAGAAGGTTGTAAGTAGGAAAAAAGTGATCTCAAGTGAAATTAAAAATAATCTTAATTTGCTAAATTAATAAAGAAAATACAATAAATAGGAAAAAAGAAAGTAAGAAAATTGTTAATAAAGTAAAGCAATGTAAGTTAGATAAAGAGTGTTAAGTGGATAGGACAAAGAGAAAAGTATTGGGAAATCACCGACACGGTGGGGGAAAATTTTTCAGCCTGTCCGGCTAGCTATGCCCCTGCTCATAGCTGGGAATGGTCAGCGACTTCCCGAAGGTATCCTGAAAGCAACGATTTTATTAGGGGTAGAGACAGTTCGGTAGAGAAAACGTGATGCAAACTATTATAATTTTTACATAGCACGCGAAAAGAATTGTGCATAGCGTAATCAGTTGTGCACGTAGATAGTAATAAGGGGCGATAATTTCTGGTTGGTCTAGCCGGAACAGAGAATTGAAGACGCCCTAGCAGAAAAGGAGAATCAATGTCGCCAATAATCAACTTATGTAGAAGGACAACACCGAGAATTGTCCTACGGTTGATTAACGACGGAAGGTTGAGAAGAAGCAGTCTGCTGGAGTAGGACGGCAACCGAAGATTAGGGTCCCAATTTAAACCTCGTAAGGCAAAAAGCAGAAATTGCTTCTGAACAGATTCAATACGATCCTGGCTGTTGATATACTGTGGAGACCAGATGCAAGAGCAGTATTCAAGGATAGGGCGAACAAGAGAGATGTACAGAAGTTTTGTTATAAAAGGATCGTTAAACTCTTTAGACCATCGTTTAATGAATCCAAGTACACCTTTTGCCTCATTAACAATGGTATCTATATGAAGATTGAAACAGAGTTTAGAATCAAAAATAACGCCAAGATCCTTAACTGTTAGTATACGTTGCAAAGGGATATTGTCGATTGTATAACTAACAAGATAAGGTGTAGTACGATTAAAAGTCATAAACATACACTTTGAACAATTTAGATGCAATTGATTGGCCGAACACCAAAGTTGCATAGCGTTCAAATCGTCTTGTAGACGAGAATGATGTAGGGGGTTAGTGTATGATAGAAAAAGTTTGACATCGTCCGCATACATGAGTACACGGGCATGTGATATAACAGAAGGAAGATCATTTATAAAAAGTGTAAAGAGTAAAGGTCCAAGATGACTACCTTGAGGAACACCAGAAGTAACGTGAACCCTTTTAGAGGTTGTCAACCTCAGTATTACTCTTTGGGTCCTACCTTTTAAATAAGAATTAATCCAAAGTAAAAGGGACAGAGGGAAACCTATTCGGTCAAGTTTAAAAAGTAAGATGTCATGGTGCACAGAGTCAAACGCCTTACTGAAGTCAGTGTAAATGACATCAGTTTGCATTTTCGAAAGGAAAGCATCATTTACCAAGGAAGTAAACTCAAGCAGATTGGTCGTAGTTGACCGATTCTTTACGAATCCATGTTGAACAGGGGAAACAACTGATTTGCAGAAATGCTGCAAATTCGAAGTGATTATTTTTTCAAATAATTTAGGAATAGCAGACAGTTTTGCAATGCCCCTGTAATTTTGTATATCAGACTTCCCACCTTTCTTGTGAAGAGGAATGATATAAGATTCTTTCCAAAGAGATGGAAAGACAGAAGTTTCAAGGGATAGATTAAAAAGCTTTAGCAATGGATAGAAAAGGGAAGAACTGCACTCCTTGAGTAGACAACTAGGAATATTGTCCGGCCCAGGAGAGTAAGAAGATTTTAGAGAGTTTATAGCTAATAGGAGAGAGGAGTGTGAAATAATGGGGGGAGGTATAGAACTAGCGGAGGAAATAGTATAAGGGTAAGAATTAGTATTAGGACAGACTGAAGAGTAAGTTGATTGGAAAAAATTAGCAAAGAGGTTAGCAGAATCAATGTCATTGCTAGCTTTATCCATCCCAAGAAAAAAAGAAGATGGCAAAGTTGAAGACTTACGCTTCAAGTTTACAAAATTATAAAACTGTCTCGGATTTCGGGCGAATTGCCTTTTACAACGAATTAGATAATTCTCATAGCATTGAGAATTAAGAAGAAAAAAGTTCGACTTGGCTATGGAATATTTAGCCAAGTCTGTACACGAACCAGACTTTTTAAACTTTTTAAAATATTTGGATTTTACATTTTTTAGATGTGATAATCTGGGAGTAAACCAGGGTGGTTTTGAAAAAGTAGTCGAAGGAATTGACTTAGGAATACACACATCTAAGAGGGAGTTTAGGGTGATATAAAAAGAATTAATAGCTGTATTCATATCAACTGAGTCATATAAGAAAGACCAATCGGTTGAATAAATAAGCTGATTCAGCAAGGAATAATTTCCTTTGCGAAAGCAATAGCGGGGCTTATTGGCTGATGAGCACGAAATGGAAGGATTACGATTTAGCATTGCAATCTCTAAAGTTGGATGATAGACATCCTCAGGAAGAGATAAAGGAGGTGACCTAGACACATTAGAAATAAGGTAGTCGTTAACAAATACAAGGTCAAGTGTTCTATTCATATGATTAGAAATTGAATTGATTTGAAACAACGAAAGATCAAGCATGCAGTCTAAAAAATCGTGCTGTGCTGAGGGCACTAGAT